CCATATGATAAAACAAAAATAAAGTAAAATAAATTTCACACTCAATAGGTGTAATTTAGTTGGCAACATAGGCTTGAGTCATGGGCGGACCTACATAGGGGGTTAGGGTGAACCTAGCCCCCTCTAAAATATGAAAATATGTTCTACTATATAATATGCAATATGGTCTCTAAGAACAAAATTTTGAAAGTGTTTTTAAAAAGTGAAAGACAAGTATACTATTTATAAAAAAAGTGTTCCAACAATTCATTGCACCCAATTAGAGATAACTATTATTTATCAGATTCAACTTACCAGCATATATGGCAGATTTTGTTCTTGGTCTGCTACCCTCCTCAATCAATGTGGAAAGTTGGCCTTTTCATTGTATACAAAGAAGAGTTTTGTTAGTAAATCATATTCACTCTACCTATCAAATTTGTCTAGAATTTGATTTTATATTAATTGATTATCTAATTTTTTTTTTACAATCATTAAAAATTTGTACATATTGTCATGTCAGAACTCAGGAGAAGAGTATTTAAGTTTTGACTTTGTTGGCAAAAAAAAATGTCAGTAATAGTTATCAATTATTAGTTGGGACCAAATGTTAAAGATAAATAACACATTACTTAATTTACTGTGTCTTCTGTTAAATAACAGCTAAGTGAGAAAATAAGATTATGAAGAAATCAAAGAAAGTGCAATTATAACACCAGAATGTATGAAGGTAAATAATAAAAAATTGATCTTACAAACAAAATATAAGGTCTTAAGGCTAATTCCTTATTGAAATAGAGAGTGTATTTGACCATTGTCACCGGAAGCAAAAAATTGACATTCCAACCAAAAAATTGGCAAAAAATTATGTAATTTTGTTAGGTTATTCTTAACAGGTATTTTTGTATTCTTAGTGTGATCATCCAACTAAAATTGGCATTGTCTTTTTATTATAGTAATATAATTTTTCGACTCCCGTCATATAATTTTCTAGGTCCGCCACTCGGCTGAGTAGGTAGGGAGAGAAACTAGGTTCAATTCTTACCAAGTACATTTTTGGGAGGAGAAGAGCTTTAACTATGACTAAATTCTGACTTAGGATTAGTCTCATAATCGACTCAAAGAGAGTTAAAACTTGTGAGATACCAGAGGACCGACTTGCCTCAAAGAGATAATTAGGATATGTACATAAAAAAAATTATATGTAATTTTTGTGCCAATAATAATAATTGGACCCATCTATTCAATGTACACGGAGAGAAATAAATACAAAAATTTCAATCATGTAAAATTTTAACATCCACCATCGTTCCCCAACTTTTTTGTCAGAACCCTTTCAATGTTCATGTCCATTTTAGCTCCTCCTCCTCCTTATTTTTCCAGAACGGGAAGCATATTGTTTAAATGCTAATCAGATGATTGTTATGATCTAACAAACAAACAAAATCCATTGGTATAAATATTTTGTTCTGGATTCATATAATGACCCCATTAACCCAGGGAAATCCATCGTGAGGTAAATCTTTTATAAATAAAGAGTTAACGTTTACATATAAGTCTCTGGAAACCCTAACCTCTCTAGATATCTATATGCACATACACATTCGTTTTACTCTGTCTATTATTTTGTGTAAGTAATCTACCACCATTTACTCCATTCACAGATCCTATATTAACTAGGATGGAACATATTCCTGTGTATAAACCAATCTAACACACGAAGAAAATGGTGCTTTTTATATTTTTTTTTGTGGTTAAAATTTCAATGTGTACTTGCTATGGCCGTAGAATACAAGCATTAAGGGCTCTCAGGTCTATACAGCTCAATTTAGAGGCTTGCCAATTAGTTCCGGGACCAGGTGTTAATGTTCGAGCCACCATTAACTGAGGATGATATTACTCAAATGAATGTGGATCAAATCAAGGTATCAGAACTCCTTTGCTTCATTCAATTTTTACAAAGTGATATGTGACGTGTTAAGATAAAGAGGATTCTGAAGCAAAGCCTGCCAAAGACCTAGTGGATTTTTTTATGGAGAGGGCATCATTTTCATTAGAGTTGTTTCGAACGGAAAAAAGAAAACGAATTCAAAACACGAAAATAATTTGAGTGCTAAGAAAGTACCGTGCATTCTATATATAGTAACATGTTTGTATTATTCATATTTTTATTGTTATTTTCTTTCATATTTAACTTTTTTATAATTTTTAATAAGAAAATAGATACTTCCATAATACTGAAAATATGTTGGGTAAACCCAAAAAAAAAAAATATACAGAATTTTAATCGATAGAATTTAGACACTTTCTTTTCTTTTCTTCCTTTCTATCATATGGGCAAAGTAGCTAGATTCTCTAGCTAAAATATGCTTGGCTAATTCCTTTTTCACAAAAATAAAAAAATCAGCTACAAATTCTCTTTATTTTTATTATAAAACTTTAACACTAATTCAAAAACACGCTTAATTCGTAGTTATAGGGATGGTTCATGGAGCTGTTGGTCGCATCCCATGTATAGATGGCGGGCGTGCAGAGTGTCCAAGTCCAACCATAAAATTCTGGACTCTCTGGTTAGTAACGAGTGAGCGAATAAATTTTCTCTGACTATTTATTTTGTGAGAAGTAAATAAAAAACATCACATCATTTGAAAAATAAATAGATGATGTGATGTTTTTTGTCCACATATCATAAAATAAATAAATAAATGTACTGAATTTTTAATACATTTGATGTGCTAAAGGTTTATTCAAATGAAAGTGACGCCGTAAGCTTATCCAAAGCATAAAGTGGAAAGATGAGAGGTTAATTTGTAGTGTTTGATGAAAAGGAAGAAGACACTGTCACGTGGACATGAAAAGGAAAAAAAAAAAAACAGTCGATCTAAACCACGTTTAAAGGGTGAGGCAACCGTTTCCTAGTCGAAATATCTAAAATATCTAAAAATTTCTATTCTAAATTCCATCATAAGTATATGGTTTAATTTAGATAACTGACTAAGTAATTATCCTCTATATTGTAGCTTCAATCAATGGGAAATATCCCATTTCAATGTGGAAAACTTACCCCACTAGACACGGACTTATTGGATCGTCGCCTTCTTCACATAGTTGTGCGTCGAAATCGATGGTTCATGTGTTTTTATCTTTGTTTCGATTTTTTATGGGCTTGCGTTGCGCTAGATCATTAACGACAGCAACTGTCGTCTTAATCTTTGCACGTGATCCAACGACCAAACTACAACTACAAGGACAGCATATCAATGTATGTGCCCTTCTATGCTCCACCAATGGAACACAATAATGAGAGCTTTAAGCCTAAAACCATTCTTGCTGTCACACAAAGAAAGCAGCTTTTGTTGGGTAACTTTTTCCAAAGTCAGCTTTATACTTTTGTGAAAACCTATTCCAATTTCAACCTAAATTTAATTAATGCGTAAAGTTAATTAAGTTGTATAAAAATTTATAAAAAAAATGATACAATATTATATATCTAAAGAAAATAAATTTTATATGTATTGTTTATGCAATATTAGATCTTAAATGTTTCAAAAGAAAAAAAAAATAAAGGGTCACATGAACTCAAGTAAATACCTATAGAGAGCTATTTTGGGTAAAAGTAGACAAAAAAGAAAGAAAGGAAGGAATTGTTTGTGCATATATCACTCAGCTATGATGCACCGACACTGATACGAGATACGGGATACGACACAACACGCCGACACGTTAATTCTAAAAAATATTATATTTTGACACGTTGGGACACATTTTGATATTAAATAAAAATTTTAATATATATAATATAATTTATATTTAATACATATAAGAGTCCATATAAGTCATAAAATCAATCAAATATTTAAATTTCATAACATAAATATAAATAAAAATAATTTTTCATGTCAAATTTCGTAATAGAAAAAAATTAATTTATAATTTTTTTTATATTTAGTTAATAAAATAAAATTAAGATTAAAAGAAAAACGTATCAGAGCGTTGACCACGTGTCGGAGAAAGTTGACTGGGTGTGGAAAAAATGTGTCGGAGAGTTGACCGGGTGTCCCCAAATATTGACCGTGTGTCGGAGCGTGTCCGTGTGAGACACGTATCCGACACATAATTTTTTTCTCAAATCACGTGTCGGTGCTTGTTAGTCACTCAGTATCGATCCTTTGTAATGCACAGTTGACAGCACCGGTTGTAATCTTTGTATGCTACGGAAAGTGGTCCTAAAATAGAATTTGGACCACCACTTGCTAGGCGATCCAATTACTGCTTGGACCAATACAATAGACTGAATTGTACCTTTCAACTTGTCTAGACAACCTACAAAGCCTTAGCCGTATAAATAACTTGGAGATAAAAAGCCACTGTTTTTATGTTGGACTTGTGCTCTTTGATTAAAATCAGAATAAAGCCTAAAAGATTTAATTAACATGAAGGAGAGCCCAAAAGAAGAGTAGGCTACTCTCCCATATAAACAGTGTTTTTGGACTTGGACTCTTGAATTCAATTTAGAACAAGCCCAAAAGACTTAATTAATATAAAAAGAACCCAACTAAAAATTAGGATTATCTAGTCAACTATATAATCATGCTTAGTCGTTTAACTAGACTCATGTCTCCATACACTGCCTAACCCAAGGAAAAGAAATCATATCCACAAATGTGTCCATATGAAATCAAACCCTCTGTCACCACCGCACTGATCCAATCCATAGTTGAAGATCCAAAAGTTTTACCAAAGTAAATCCAGCTTTAGGAATCCAAGCGCTAGAGTCCTCAGCAGATTTGACTATCCTACAGAGGATCGTAATGCAATTAATACTCACGTCTCCAGAATGCCATAGAGGACTACGAAGTACCAGTAATTTCTCGTCTAGTAAGGGACTGCTATGAGCTCTTGTGACAAGGACACTAATATTGTCAACAAGGACCGAACATCATCAAGTCCAGTCCAACCACAAGAAGTCCACTAGATGGTTTTCGCTATTTTATTTTCTCTCCACTTTCCCAAATTATAAGATTTTCACGCACTGGTTTCGTTAAAATATTCACATAATTAAAATTCCTTTTACACTACTACATGATAGGGAGTGTGCATTCATGTAGCTACGAGGGTTCTATCCAGACCTATATTTTTCTTCTTTTTCCTCCCGACAAGTTATTAACACAGGCCTGGAGTGGAAGCAAGAAAAAGCGAAATAACTTAGTTTTTCAACTTATTAGCCTTCTTGAGAATTTGTCATAAGGGTTTGTGGACCCCTTACAAAAAAGCTGTCGAAATTATTTTCCGCGAGACTGGACTTCATGGCAGTAACATTTTTTGGAACTAAAAAGTCAAGTCCAGAAAAATGTTCACCCCAAATATCATATGTATAATCATTTGCAAGTCCTGCCTCTTGTGCTTGAACAGCTTTCTGGTTGTGAAGTTTGGATCCAGGAGCTCGAGCATGTGAAGTAACAGTAGAATCTAACACCAAGGAAGAGAAAGGAGGTCCAACAGAAAAGGGAGAAGTAGCACAAGGTATCTGAACAGGTATACCATTAACACTTTTTGAAGCAGAATATGGCACTTGAGACGAAGACATATTATTACTGCAGCTTCCATGTGGAAAAGCAGGCTCCAATATATTTGCCTCAGCAGCAGCAGCACCAGAAGCTTGATTGTTGTCAGAATGTCGGGCAGCCACCGGTGCTATAGAACTAAGAGCCTCAAAGGGTTGCTCCACATCAGGAGACAATGGCCAGTTACGTTTAGGTGTAGCAGAGGTTACTGGTGATAAGGGAGATGAGGGAGTAGAATTCCCACTCTGACTACTTGAAACTTCAGACAAAGCTGTTAATTTAGCACCGAGACTCTTTCTCTTTTTTCTTCTACCCTTTTCTTTACCAGTTTTGACCATGAGATAACCCAACTGGGATGCTTTCATTGGACCAGAACTCTGACCTGCCGTGGATGACAATTTTCTTTCACTTTGAGTATCCAATAAATGACTAGTCTGTTTATGATTCTCAGCAGTCTGCATCAAATGCTCAGATATTCCCAGTTCAGACGGATTGCCTTCACCATAAGAATATCTGCCACAAGAGGCCTCCATTAGATGATCCATCTTATCAGACTTCGGTAGCTTACTCTTACTCTGGTTATGATGTAGCAAAGAGGTTTTCACTGCACTTTTTATGGTGCTGTGGACCAAGTTATCATCACTCTTGCACGAGAAGTCCAAGGAGCCCAATGCAGTGGTTTGAGGAAATATAAAACAAAATATCAGAAATATTAAGGTTGCAACAAGAAGGAATCCAAGAAAGGATTTTTTCACTCGCATTAAAAACATAGATTTCTTGCAGTTACTTAGCATATCATAAGGTAAACTTGCCTTGATGGGTAACAGAAAAATACCAGTAGCCAAGGCAAGTTCAAGATCCCGATGCACCACAGATGCAGAAAAATCGGTTTGGTATGATATCAGAAATTTAGTTGACTCCCCAGGTTCAAGAGCAAAACCCCTACAAGAAAGAATCTTAAAACCATCCAACCCACATTCTCTCCCAGAAACTCTTATACTTTTAACCTCCAATGGCAAGTCTCCTGTGTTCTTGGCATATAACTCTTTCACTAAAGGTTGAGAACAGGCAGACGTCATCTCTTTCATGTGAAGTAAGGCATATGGAAGAGAAAAATTTAGCGGTTTGGGCATTTTAAGATCAAAATCTACACTCTGAACATGCTCAAACCTCTCAAGCAAAACTAGAGAAAGCAACCCTCCAAATCCCCTTAAAGGTATCCACTCAACACCTGAAAGATTGTTTCTTATCAATGCTGAACCACTCCACCAACATCGACTGGAGGGATAAAAATTTATTGGCCCTAAAGTTACCTGATCATAAGGGTGCACATAAGCCTCTGTCTGTGCATTCTCTGGTACAGAGAATCCGTACTTTGTTGGAGTAGCAGCTTCATCTAGAGCCAAATTACCAGATGAAGAAGGGTGTAATAAATCATCTAGACCCCCACAGTCGTTAATTATTTCTCCCGAGTTTAAGATAAGCTGCATCATAACTGGATGTTGGCTGGGATTCTTTACAGTGATCCATCGAGAGACATAACTTCCAACCTGAATCATCGGAAATAGTACCTCACGGTCTTCAAGCACAGACATGCCACCAGTGGTTCCTTGAGACCTCCAGTTGGCAAGAATTAGTTCATCTACATCTGCTGTCTCAAAACCCTTCATATAAAAGTAGCAGAAAGACTTGGTTTTAATGATTATTGGAAATAAGAATAAATAATAACAAATAATTTAACGAAAAATAAGTAAATTTATTACCAATAGTCTATTAAGTGAGTTTCTTTGCTGTGCATAATGACTATATATACACATACAAAAATTTGCAGAAAGACAACTGGCAAATGAAGGAAAGGCAATTATCAAGGAAGTTTCCTTAAGTTCAAAAAAAATTGCAAAATAAATATTCCTTCCATCTAAAAATATCATAAAATTTACTTACCTTGACATTTGGTGGCAATCGCATGCTTCTTCCCTCATACCCTTCCCTCATATTGCCAGATTTGATAAGTTTAGACTTGCCTTCTACTCCAACAGATGAAAGCCTTTGATGTTCAATACAAATAAATAATATGTCATCACATGGAATCTCTATCAGGGGACTAGTTGAATCATTAGTAAGAATCATCAGTTTGCAATTCTCTCCCACGTTGGAGACTTCAGGTGGCCAGTCATGTAAATCCAAGTGAGGGTGATTACAGTAAATAATGCCAACTTGTGTTACTGTGCCAGGGAAAAGAATTAATCCTTCCTTGTACTTGATATGGAAAAGCTCCAGTTCAGCAACTTCCAGGACTTTTACAAAACTTAAAGCATAAGGGGCATCATTTCTTAGAGAGATAGCGATAGCAATTTCACCATTATCACATGTGACTAGGCCCTCAAGTGTTGCTGAAACAAATATACCATCAGTGTCATAGGCAGAATGGTTATCCACTTCAGCTTCAATAGGAACCATAATAGTATGATACGCTTCTTGTGAGGGCCTCAGTAAATGCAAACAAAATGCACCAACAATTTTTCCCTCAAATCCAACTGTGATATCCATCTCCATGAGAGTTTCCGAGCTATGGGGACCAATATCCCAGTTCCTATGTGGTCTGATTGCTACCACTGGTGAATCAATTTGGCTACTCTTCACAACCAATCGATCCTTAATAGTTGGGAAGAGAAGAGTATCAAAAACCTGAAAATCACTCGTACCACAAATTGCTTCGGTTTCAACAGAATTATGCCCCAAAGAAACTGATATCCAAGCAGTTATTTCCTCCACATAAAGGGTTTCATCAAAGGGATTGAACAATGAAAATTTCTTGTTCAACCTTCCACCAGGAGAAATTTCCACACCTGATACGGGCTGAATTCCAAAAGGAGACTCAGTAGCATATCCTTTAGCCTCTACTATGAATCCACCAGAACTTGTCTGCAGAATCAGGCTAGCTGATGACAAGCCCAGACATCTAGGAAAGTAAACAAAACAAATTAAAGCTGATTCGCCAGGTCTTAGTGAAACCTCACTGAAGTTACAAGGGTAGAACTGTAAGTCCGTGCTGAATGGCTCATAGAGGTGTAATATGCTCTCATTGCACGTATTTGTCACAGTTAAAAATGCTGCTGAAGAAGAATACAAATATTTTTGTCCCCAGTCCAGTGGAGTAGGGCCAATCCTAACATTGGGTGAGATGGAACCATCAAAGGAATTTGATTTGGACATCTCAGGGTTCGTTGGCCCAATATGTGTTGTCTTCTGCTTAAGTAAAGAGCCTCCACAGGAAGAAATATCACCTTTATGACCAACCTCAGTTTGAAGATATGGTATCTCATTCCCTCCCTCTCTTGAGTTCAAAGAACAAGAAACAACCCCTCCATTAAGTAACCTAAACACACCATAGTCAGATGACCAGCTTTTGTTACTTGTCTGCCTGCTATCTTGAGCTAACTCTACACAAAATGGACTGTTGTAATGACTGCTAGATTCTCCTTGAGAATCTTCCTTCATAATTTTCTCTTTATCAGATAATCCAGACAACAATGAAGGAAAGCAGAACGAATGACTGTTTGGGCACACACTTTCAAAACTGTTATGGGTAGTTGGAAACCCATATCCTAAACTAGAGTCGCTAAAGGTAGTGTCTGAAGAACCCAAATTGTAACTTTTCTCAAAAGAAGCACAAGCATCATAATCTGGTGAATTTTGTATCCCATTCACAGAGCACAGTCCATATGCAGCGAAGAAAAATAAGATACATGACAGAATCACATAAGAAGTGAATGTTTGGGCCAAGTGCAACAATCCCCTAGTTGAACCAAAAATACATGTTAGTATTTTTAAATTTTTTTCACTTCACACATAAATAATGTGCAAAACAAAACAACTAAACACAGAATGCTTTCACTGTCAAAAAGAAAAAAAGATTTGCAAAATGTAAAGCAGCCAAAGTTTTTTCTGTTCATCATTTCAGTTCAGCAACCAATAAAAATTACAATGTCTTCCTTCTGCCAAAAGAAATGAAAGGACAGTTCGAGAATAATATCATTTAACAAACCGGAAAATCTCACTATAAATAGCAAAAGGCTCGAAAGAAGAGCAGGTTTGAAATGGCTAAGTCCTGTGTGACCAAAATTTAACCAAATGCAGTTACACCTCACAGCATTGATTACGGGATAATTAATTCTACTCTTTAACCCAGCTTCATGTGTTTTAAGTTAGATTAATATCAAACAGTATATACTACATAGTGCCAAAAAAAGGAAAAAAAAATCACACAGATAATCATTAGAATTCAGTTTTACATACTGGAAATAGAAAAGATAAGGATATAAACAAAAATAAATAAAAAAGTCATAAACACTTAAACTGAACATTCTATCAACCTTGAACCATTAACCCAAATTAAAAAAAAAAAAAAAAAAAAATCACACTCAGTACTTTTACTAAAAAAAAAAAAAGGAAAACATATATGTTCAAACCAAATGCAAAGAAGTAACAACCGGCAACAAAACTGGACACCCAGAAACAAATAAAATAAATAAATAAAGTGATCAACTTCAGAGAGGAAAAAAGCGTGGAAATTTACAGAATATAGAAAGCAAAGAACGAGGGAAAGAACAAGAGATGATAAAAGTATAAGGTGAGAGAGGAGTGGTAAAAGATACCGATGACAGAACATAGAGAGTGGGTTTGTCGTCGAAGGGCTGCTGATTAGGGTTTGAAGGTCCATGGAAGAGAACGAGAGGAACCCATACGACGCTTAGCGATTTTTTTTTTTATTTTTTTATTTTATTTTTCGATGTTCTCACAGTCACAGCGCTTGCTTAGCCCCGATGAATGGCCACAGACTAACTATGAAATTTGTGCAGACAGGGTCGCGAAAAGAACCACAGAACGTGCCTGTTTACTTAACTACCGTCATAAAATAACAAGTTTTTTTTTTTTGGTAACAAATAACAAGTTTAATTAACTGTGGAATTTGCAGAGAGTTACCAAAATATCTACATGAACTACATGTTTAATTAAGTAGGATAACATTAAGGGAAAAGTTCACCGATGCACATGTGGTTTGCTTCAGAATCATTTATGTTCTGTGGTTTTTTTCCTATCACATATGTCCCTGTGCTTTGTAAAAAATAAGAAACCACAGAGATATATGTGATAAAAAACATACCCTTTTACAAACCACGGGACATATGTGATAAGAAAAAAACCACAGAGACCTAAGTGATTCTGAAGTAAACCACAGTGGCATTGATGAACTTTTCCCTAACAAAATTTTAATTAAAGATCGCAATAATAATAAATTATTAATCAGATACAAAGAATAATGAATTCACCTCTTTTCTTGCAGAGTTATACTTATTTTTTTTTTTATTATTTCTTATTATCAAATTATAATCGTTGATTTTCTCTGATCTAACAATTATAATTTATTGAAAATTAATAAGTATGACTCAATAAATACAATCGATAGATTGACAAAAATCAACAGTTAAAATTTAGTAATAAGAGATAATAAAAAAAAGGAAATAGTAACTATAATCTCCCTTATTTATTGTCATCTTTATTATCTTATATTAATATAAAAGGTGAATGAGAGGTTCTAGGTGTTGAGTTAAAACTTAATCACATTGTGTTACATATAACATACTCATAGTAACTGGTGGTAAATATAACCCCGTAACAATTATGACCGACCTCTTTTTTAAAATTCATATCTATTTATTATTTTAGATGCTTTAAAAATACTTTAAATAAAATTTATTTTAATGTTAAAATAAAATAAAAAAAAATTATGTGTAAAATTCCTAACAGGGGACATAAAAGTTTTTTTTTCACATAATTTGAACTAAAATCAGTAAAACACTTATAAACTTAAAAATACTATAAATTAAATTATTATTATGATCTTGATATAGAAATATAATATAAATATAAGAAATATTTATCCCTTTAAAGGACTGTTATTTTAGTTTAAATAACTATTCTTATTCAATATTTAAATAAAATAAAATCTTATTTCCCTCACCATAAATGATAAAACACTTTAATTTTGATTAAAATAACACAATTCTATATTAATCTCTATATTTTATTAACGGGAGTAACATTTCTCCTATAAGTGAAGATAAAATTATCTTTTTGTATCGTTTTTGGATTTGGAAAATTAATAAAATTCATGATATAAGAATAAATAAAATTTTTAAAATATCTTTTTTTTTCTAAACTTGAAAACAATGTGATTTTAGGTACAAGAGATAATTTTATCTCAATAGCAGGAGAAATACTTTTTCTTTATTAATAAATAATTTATCAAAATGTATAAAAAAAATATATATTAAAATATAATAAATCTAAAAAGGTTATATAAAATTTAATATAAAAAGAGATGGCAATCAAATTTTATATAACGTTTTCATTACTCCTAAAGGCAACCTTGTTCATTTGACAAATTCAAGAGTATAGCCATTGGTTCTAACCCTAATAGCAACAAGGAAAAAGGGTTTGGTGTGCTGCGTATTAATGGGGACGCTAGGGATAAGACACTGGAGACTGGAGAGCGACGGGTCTTCACCTACCGCGCATTCAATACAACATACATACACGAGTGTATTATTACTCAACACGATACAAGACAATATTCGATTCAACCCTACCAATGTTTTCAATTTTGTGATGGTGGCTTGACATTACAGAATATTATAAGACATGAAAATGGAGCCTCATGGGCGTCAACCCCCACCTGCTGTTGAAACAACCAAATTACAACTGACTCACTCTGCATGCTTGGTTTTAATTCCTTTTCCTAGTGCTCTAGAGGCCATTGGAATATTTGATTGATTTAACTCATCTCACAAGTACAAAAATAGCATGATGCCTTGCAACTAATGCGTTTTATGCAAAGAAAAATACGAAATGAATAAACACGAGTAAAAGGGGTGAAAATTTTGCATGAATCACTATTGAACTTACTAAAGAAGGGACCCCTTTAGCAGAGGAGAAGCTTACTTTTGGTAAACATTAGAACAATTTATTTATGTTTACATCAGAGGTTTAAGGATTTGTCCCCGAAATTTTTTTTTAAAAAAAAATTTAAATACATTAAAAAATAAAAGAATATAAATAAGAAAAAAAAACTTCAGTTTAACATAAAAATAATAATAATCAAAAGTCAACTAAGTTTATTATAAAAGCATTTTTCAATTTTTCATTCCTTGAAAATATTATATTATATTTTTATTATTAATTTTATCAAATATATCACATTCAACATAAGTTAATATGCATGCGTTAAACCATGTTTGCCATGTAGATAATTATTTACGAAATCCAAACACCATGGAAATAAATTGAGTATAAATTTGAAAAAATAAATTATTTTATTCCAAAATCAATACTAAAAAAATATGATGTATTAACTAAAGCAAGGAAGCGAACCAGCATAACCACACCATAGGACTCAAAGGTAGCGTCGTAAATGGAACCCTATTACTCGAATTTTTTTAATACCGATACATAATCTTTTCGGCGCACCTTTTTCAAAAAAAAAAAATTCATTTTAGTTCATCTCTTCTTTTCAAATTTTTTCTCCCTCCTTTTTTCTTTTCATTTTAGGATAAGGACTATAAAATCTCAGATCACATAAAATGAGCTCCTAATACTCTATGTTTTTAGCAATGAATAAATCTTTGGTACTACTGCTGTACCTAGATTCAGTACATCTCGTCAATGAGAGCATTACACATCAGAGAAAAAAGAAAAAAATTGACAGAAAAAAAAAAAAAAATTTAGCTGACATATAATATTTTCATTAGTGGAATGCACTGAATCTTTGGTACAGCAGTACTAAAGATTTATTCCTTAACAATTAAACTTAACCTTGATGGTACCACCCCACCTTTCTCCCATGAAGCAACCTTCGAATTTTTTTTATTTTTTTTATTTTTTAAATTTGTGTATGCACTTACGGGTGTTTGGTATGGAAATTTTATTTTATTATCTAGAAAAATGAGATTTAAAGGAAACAATATTTCGTACGGATTTAAAAAAAATTAATTATGAAACTTATTTACATGAGAATGTATTATGAAACTTACTGGGTGGTATTCTTATTTTGTCAGCAAAATGTTAACTTGTCCACACTTCTTCGATAATATTTTGATCTATTAAATAATTTTTTTTAACTTTTTCAAAAAAAAAATTCCATCATATTTTTAATAACTATAATCCTTAAAAAATAAAAAATAAAATCTTCTTTACCCAACATTACGATACACTCGTACACATGTTTGCACAATTATAAGTCCGCCAATGTTTGACCGTGGAAGAAACCCGTCGTGCACTCCTTTTGGCCGTTGTGTATTCCATTTGCCCATCATTCTCTCTCTACCGTACTTTTTTTTTTCTTCAAAAATTCGTATATTTTATTGTTACAAGGATAATCACATTTGATATAACAGTTTTTTTTTTAGTTTTTTTGATAATCTATAACCCAGTTTTTTATTTTCGTGAACCAAAACCAGTATAGTTTCATATTCGGTAACCGAATAAATTATAAATATATTTTTTTAGACAAAAAAGTTTAAGTGTGATTAGAGATGATCACAAGAAAAATCATTTATAGTTAAAACTTATTATTAAGATATTTATTATAATTTTTAACTCGATAGTTCATTTACCATTCTGAGGGTAAGATTTTCATGAAAATCAAAATTTTATTTTCGTTCCGCCAAATAATTGTTTTACTTGTAGATGATTAATTCCTACATGGTATGATAACTTTTAAACTTTTCACATAAAGGTGCAAATAAATATCCTTATTTTTTATATTTTTAGAATGTAAAATCTATTTTTAATATATAATAATGTTTTTTTGTGTTACTTAACATTTATTCTCTAATTTTTTTAGTCATTCTCTTTGTATAAAATAATTTAAGAAATAATATCACATTAACATCAACAACATATATTTATTTAAAACTGTCGGCGTTCGATAAAACCAAATTAAAAAAAAAATGGGAAAAAAAGAAAAAATAAACACATGAATTAATAAAAGATTAAAATATAAGAATTAAAATTTTAAAATTGAAAGTCAAAAATAAAAATAAAGTGAAAATATTTATACATAATAATAACTAAAAATAAATAAATATTGTATGTTCTCGTGAAAGCATCTAAGAATCTTCGTATTATATGCCTAAATTCTCTTAATTTATATTTTCTTGTATTTTTCGCTATCGATACTATTCTTATTTTCTTCGAATATCTTCACTTCTTATCTTATACATCTTTATCCGACCGTGCATCCGTATACTATGATGCACCGACACTTCAAAAAATATAATGTATCGTGTTCGACACTTTTCGATACTCTCTGACACCCCACCACTCCGACACACGTGCAGAGACTTAAAAAAGGTTTAAAGATTACGTTGCATTTTTAATTCCAACTATTAGATTTGTTGTATTACGATTATCGTTTTATTGAGTTTAATATAAACATTTGTTATGTCTCATGTTTCTTTGCAAAATTAAAAGGTAATATAAGTTTTGCTTCATTTTTTGTTAAGTTATTGAATATTAAACATAATATGTTTACTAAAAAAATATATATACTACATAAATTAAAAATATTATTTAATATCAAAATGTGTCTTGTCGTATCAAAATCTAACATTTTTTATAGTTAACGTGTCAGAATGTCGTGTCGTGTCGTATCTCATGCTCCATATTGATGTCGGTACAACATAGTTCATATAAACATTCTCATTTCTCCTACTCCCGTTTTATGCTTATGTTGCTTGTGTATTGACCAACACTCA